TCAGAAGGGGTGAGTCAAAAAGTATTGCTCCTGGAGTCCCAGTTCAAGCGTGCCCGGGTGGAGTGCAAGCACATCCTGCTGAAGCGTGGAACTGTGATTAGTGATGGCCACGGGCCAGCTCTCTCAGGAATACATGTGTTGCATTCTCATTAGGATGCCCTCACAAGAAAAAAGTTTCAAGGGGATCTGCTGGGCCAGTGGGATTTCAGGCAGGGAGGTAACCTCACTGGTATGGCAAATGAGTCTGGGGAGCCTCAAGGGATAGTTTCGATGTACTTTCTCAAAGAGCACAATATGAACATGGAGGCTTATTATGAAGAAATTTTAAGAAAACTGAAAATTGCATTGGTGGGAAAAGGCCAGAAAATTTGAGAGGAAGAATTTTTCTCTTCATCAGAAGAATGCACCAGCTCATTCTTCAGAGGCAAGAAGGACTGCCTCAGGAGAATTTCACTGTGTGGCCTGACTCCGGGCATCCTGCAGCCCTGATCTTGCCCCTCCAGACCTTCTTTTGCTCCTCAAACTCTAAAGACATTTAAAACCAACATGATTTGAGTCCCCCAAGGATGCCAGAACTGCCATTTTGCTATAGTGTAATTGGAAGAGTATAGAATTCTGTGGGAAGGGGTTAGAGAGATAGAAACGCTGTCTCCAGAACTAGAGCAGCATGGGAGATATGTTGAGAAACAATCGCTTCACTTTTTTGACATTTTTGGGTAACGAAGGTTTCTATGATTTTGTAGCAGTACTCTTTGACTTACTGTGATAGACAGTTAGGGATTATATCAGCTAGACACTCCTGAGTACTAGTCTGGGTAGAGCCCAACCTATCAATGGGGTCGAAGCCTGATGATCCCTCCTTGGGAGTGACCTTTTGTATATGAGAGAGGCTGAACAGAGTCAAATTCTCTTAAGCCCTTTGCCTTCTGCTGGAGCTGAATGTTTTGCTTGGTTCCTTGATCTCCTGTGGCATAGCCTGCCACTCCCAGGAGGTGCCGGTGGACTACCGGCATTGGATTTATTTGGCCAACTTCAGATTCATATTACCTCTGCACCCACCAACTTGTGTCCTGTGCTGTCTCTGCTTCATTATCTTACTTCCTGTTCATCAGCTTCCTCACATCCAGACTAGACTTATATCTATTTATACAACTGTGTAAGCCATTTTTTTCTATAAATCTCTTTCTATATTCAAGTCACTTGTTTGCTTCTCTAAAGAACCCAACCTAACACCTTTGGTACCAAGAATGGAGTAGGGGCCAAGTGACAACACTTAATTGACAGAGACAAGGCAAGCTTGGTTTCCTTAATGGACAGTGGATTCCAAGTAGTAATCAGAATAGTCTGGCTCATATGGACTTATGGTGTTGGCTACCTAGGAAGGGTTCCCCTAGGAGTGAAATAGATGGTAAGCCTACTAAATCAAGTTTACTTGACCTAGAAATTTTCTGTTGCTATAGGTCAAGTTAACATTTAGTAGGATTGAGCAAATTAATACCCCACTCCTGGTACCAATTGTGTTAGAGTGGGTTGTCTGGACAAACAAAACATATATCTATAAGAAATAACTTGTATCAAGAAGATGTCCCAAACCAGTCCCACACAAACGCGTGGGTCTGATGCTAGCCAAGGCCCTCGCCACAGGCCGATGAAACTGAAACATGAAGTGGGAAGCAGGGAAGATCACAGGCTGATGGATGCAATGTCTCCTGTATCCAAGGCATGTGGAAACATGGCAGTGCACCCACAGCTCTCAAGGTCAAGTGGCTTACAGGGGGCCATGCACAGTCCCAGGAAGACAAAGGAGCAGAGAGGAGGAAGAGCAGTTCCCAGTAGCTCTCTTATAAAAGGCCACACCCCCAAGGAGTTATCATCAGGCCATGGCATGATTGATAGCTTGAACTCCACCTGTACACATTCACACAAATTCAAGGTAGTATAAAATCTCACTGCCTCATTTACCATCCTATTATAATATGGAACGTACTTCTTTAATGTATGCATTTGTTCTACTATTGTCTTTAGAGGTTTTTGATAAAAAGTGGAGACGATGGATGACAGTCGCAAGTAATCTTATAGGAGGCAAGGTATTAGAAGGGCTGAGAGCACAGACATGAGGAGGCAGACCTCAGGAGTTTCAGTTCTGGCTAAACCATTTCCTAGCTAAACAACTTTGGGAAAGTTAGATAACCTTATTATACCCCAGTTGCTTCATCTTTGAAATGCAAACTATAATAACACTTATAGACTAATTATGAGCATTTCGTAGGATAAGCTAGAAGGCATTTTGTACAACGTCTGGCATGTAAGAAACACCCCTTAAAATTTGACCTATCATTATAAGCAGCTAACAGGATGGGCATACCCTTATATTGGGACTACCCTTGAAACCCTGAGAGGGTTTGACGGTGAGTGCTAAACTCAGTAACAGCGGAGTAGTAATAACAATAATGCTGCTGTTTAACAGCTATCAATTGTGTTCTGGGCTCACCTGCAGGCTGTCTAACAACTCTGTACCTCATGGCAATCTCCATTTCATGGAGACAAAACAACACAAAATAACACCCCCCCACCCCACCCTCCAAAAAAAAACAGTGTATCACACAGACTGCCCAGAGACACACAGCTAATAAACCAGTAGTTCATCCATCAAGTCCACTCTGGATAATTTCAAAACACATCCGTTCTATCTTTTGGCTAAACTCTCTCTCATAGGGAATCTAATACACTTAGGAAAGCGCCTTTATTTAGATGAGGTCTCTGCCTGCCTACCAGCATTTTGTGACATTGCCCAGTGACACGGACCAACTGCAGAGTCTCCCGTTCCTAGACTATCGATTCAGTTTGTGTGTGGGGGTGGGGGGGGAGGGTAGCAAGCCCAGAATGAAGATTTCATTTAGAGATTTGGTAAGTGAACTTTGTAAAAGCACTTTCACCATGGTTCTCAATAGCCTTTTCTTTGAAGGAATTCAAAGCTTCACATGCACAGGCTCATTAGGTGAAAGTATTTTTTCCAACTTACAGATGGAGAAGCCAAGGGCCAAGCAAGGTGACATGACTTGAGGCAGAGGGAGAGACCAGTTACTTTCCTCAGTAGCCCAGCATGTTAATTGTGGAAACAGGAAATGAGTACCGTGGGTCCCTGGTTGTGTCCACCCAACTGGCTGCTCACTAGTGTTAACCGTGACCACATAATGAGTGCCACTTTTAACCTAAATGTGCAGTTAGGAACACTTGGCCTAATTTTCTTGTTAAAAGGACGAAATCTGCCTGCCACATGGGAACCTGCACATTCAAGATTAACTAATTCTGCTCCAATTTGCCATATATTGTAGTTATTCTTTTCTCCTTTCTAATGGGACTGGGAGAGTTCAGAAGCGGGGAGCAGGGGAGGGAGTAGAGCACACAAGGGGAGAAGATTAGGACGGCCTAATTAAACATCAACCTGCTGACATAGCATCAGTGTGCTAGTTAAAGAGCTTTGAATGTAAGATATTAATGCAAATAGTTTGCATACTATTAACTCTAATGATACTTGCACCAGGTAGTAGCCTCAGCTGAAAGCTGAGGTGACAGTTTTTATTAGAAATACCTTGGGTCTTTCTCTGAAAATCACTATGAAAACAGAAATGCCTTAGAAGTCACACCGGGCAGACTTCTGCTTTATTAACCTTCTCATCATTAACAATCCAAGCAATAAGTCACTGAAGATGCTGGTGGCTAAGCAGCAACTCCTCTTGCCCTTCAAACAATAGCACACTTCCAGGGCAGTGAGTTAGGAAATCGCTGTAAAACAGAATCTGTCTTAGGACAAAAATAAAAGGAAAGTAAGCAACCTTCAAATAGTTATATAACCAGACAACCATTATCATTCAGGACAAGTGTTATCTAGCACTTCAGCCCCAAGCTAGTGCTGGCAGTGCAGCACAGGATTTTAGACCCAGGTCTGCCATTTGCCAATTGTGTGACTTGGACCAAATCATTTGACCTCTCTGATCCAGTTCCTTCTGTGGGAAGCAGGGCTGTCAAAGACAATCAAAGGAGACTGCAAATGTGAAAGCTCTCCAGAAGCACTATACAAACGCATTATTGATCTTCACAAGCTAAATAACGAGGAATGAGTGGCAATGCAGGTGCAAGTACATCTTGGGGAAAATTCGACCATCAGAATAGTTGGTCAATCCTGAAGAAATGGTGGTTTCTGGGAAACAGCCATGCCAGCCTGCACGGTTGCAAGTCTTAAGGCCAGATCGCAAAGTCCGCTGTGCAACCTGGCAAGAGCCCCTTACACTCTAAGCTCTTGCAGTGACAGTGTTGGGTTCACATCATCATTGTGTGCTTTCTTACCAAACTTTATTTAGAAAGAGTTTACAAACCAGTGGCCTGGCAGAGTTGCCTTAGATTTGAGTGCTGGAGTTTCGCACCAGGGAGAGCAGTCTTGCATGTCTTGTTCTCGTACCTTCCTCCCTGAGGATTCAACAGATGGAACAACAACAAAATCAGAAACCCAAGACAAACCTGTCAGTTTGATGCCTTTAAGCTTCATCAGAACTCACAATTAAAATTTGATAGAATGTCTATTTAGAGGGAAAGGGTGCCAAGAACCAGTCCCACAGAGCATACTGTCTTTTGTCTGAGTCTGAGTAACCCTATCAGATCTCTCCTCATAGAGGAGGGTTTGTATGCTGGTCCATAGTTGGCATTGAAGAAAAATGGTTGAAATAATATTGTTAGTAGAAATAATTGAGCAATGGTACCATGGTGCAGTCTATTCTTTTCATTCTCTGTGTCTTGAATCCTTCCAAGTGAACCCTTGTATAAGGGTCCTTGGGAAATGCCAGGATGCATCATTGTGTACTCTGAAGGGTCCCTAAGTCAGGCCCAGCATCCTATGTTTTGGTAACCACTTGTGAGGAAGTCAAGTATTTGATGTAGTGGTTGCTGATGGAGAAGCTCCAAAGTCAGACTATGAACTAAGCATCTCTCTCTCTTTTGTTTAGGCAAACATTTCTAACTACAGCCTGGTGATGGAGTCAGATTCGGGAACCTTCTTACCTTATGGGCTGCAGTTCACCGGCAGTGACAAGGCCAGGGCCATCATGAAGGAGATCATGCAACTGCTGCAGCCCATTAATATCACACAGGTGTTTCGGGATGGAGAAGGCACGGACATTAGCTACTGGATCCAAGCCGGAGTGCCCGGTAAGACCAAAAATTGAAGTTGTATAAGGGTCCTTGTAAGCTGCTATCAACTTAAAATAGTGTCTATTTTAATATGTTATTGGTAGGCCAATTAAAGCATGGAGACCCTCAGTTTTTCCTGGTAAGGTATAAAGACTTGCCACAAAATCTATTTGTGTTTACCCATCTGCCTTCCCTTTTTAAATCCTAAGCTCCTCATTCCCATTGGTGATGAGCTAATGATTCCAGGTTTCAACCTCAAATATATATATATATATTTATATAAATATATATATTTAAATTAGGTACCCTGGTGATTATGGCACAAGTGATTTCATGACACAAAACAGTAGGAGACAATCATTACTATTAATATCCTTCCAGTTGTTTGCTAGGAAATCTTCTCTGACCCAAAAAAGCTCCTACCCAAACACCAGGATGTTTGACATTTTGTTGTTAGAAATGTGTTCCTTGAGGGTGAAGTACTTCCTGGTGAGAATCCTGCCCCTATATTTAAGGCAAAAGTGTCCGGAAGAGGTTGGATAAAAGCTTATTCATTCTATCTGTGGTTTATCAGGTTGGTATTTTTCAGGGATAAAATGATGGAATGGGAGCACACCTGGGATGGTGAAGGGGTAGAATGTGAAGCAACCTTAACGGTTAAAAACGCATGCAACTTCACAGGTTTTCCTCGGACTGGCCATGAAAAAGGTTATCGATGATATTGTCTATGACTCAAAGTTGTTCCCTCACAGCATTACATCCATAATTTGAAAATCCACCTGCAAATCAGCCTAGATTGTATTATACAAACAAAAGCCCAGCTTTTTAATAATGCTAGCATTTCTGTTTTCCGAACTATTTTTGTGAATTCACAGCATTTCATGGTTATATGAAAACAATGTCTTTCTAGAACCACCCCACTCTAGAAATATTAAGTCTACTTAATATTTCTTAAATATTTCAAAGTTTATTCTCAATAATCATATATTTCAAGGATATTGTGAACTTCAGTGTTTCAATAATATTTCATAACTAAAAATAGAATTTTTCTGTATTCGAATTCAAGGGTCCAGAGTCTCTCTTTGGTCTAGGTTTACTCCATTTTCCATGAAGTTCTTGAAGCCGCCTCATCTTTGTAAACTATCTGAAAGCAACATCTCCATGTATAGTGCTGTACACCATCTGGAAAAAATCCAAGGCTCTCTACATATATGTTATTGACAAACAAGATAGAAGTGAGGAGAGGAGGGAAGAGTGAGGAGTTTGCCATTTAAGTTGTACAGAATAATTTGCTTAAGTTTTAGATTTTTTTTCCCTGAGCCTACAAGCTTTCAACAAGCATCTTCTCAGGATTCAGGGAAACCTACATGAGTTGCTTAGTGTTAGCTATGAGGACCAGACTGACAGATTGAAGGTGAATTAGAGTGGACAGTCATCAAGCCAAACCTGTTGCATTGAGTCAATTCTGACTCATGGAACCCCTATGTATGTTAGAATAGAATTGTGTGTGCTCCATAGGGTGTTCAATGCAGCTGTTAGTTTCTTTGTTTTGTTTTTGTTCTTGACTTTCACAAGTAGATCACCAAGCTGGTCCTTAAATGTGTCTCTGGGTAGACTCAAATCACTAACCTTCCAGTTAGCAGCAAAAAAATTAACCATTTATACCACCCAGAGATTCCTGAATGGAGAGTAGAGCTGGTCAAAGGGTGGTAAGAAGGAGCCAAAGCCAAAGACAGACCTAGAACAACAGCAACAAAATCATGTCCCCTCTTCCCAGATATTTCTTGCTTTGTTGATTTGAATTGAGCATTGGCTCTAGCCAATGGTCTATAAGGACGATTCTTTGGACTTAAGTTGATTTGGTTACTTCCCCTAAGGTAAGAAATCTGCTTTCACTGTTTCAGATGGGTCAAATTTGATAGATAGCTAGTAGAGTGGAGTGGGGAATTTGAGCCACTTTTGTGATAAAATAACATTTACTAGGCTCTGCTATTTAGCAGGCAGTTGATTGGGCCAGATGGATTAAGTACAATTATTCTTACTTCATAGATGAAGAAATGGGGTTGCCAAAATCACCATGAACACCAGCCCTGTTGGCTTCAAGGCTCATGGCTCTTCCCCAACCACATGTGACAGCAAAGGGTTATGTGGAATGCTGAGATGGTCCCCAGAATTTAGGACAGTGTCTAAACTGTTTTTGTTACTCGGCCCTTGTTTGTGGGCAGCATTCCAATCCATTCCTGTTCCAGAATAATTTACTAATAATTTACTACCGAACTCCCTTTGGAAAAGGGAGTCTGTTATTGGAAATAACTACTTATTCCTTCTCACATTTCTTGATCCACTCCCTCTTCGCTCTGTGTAGCTCAGGAAGGTTTCTCTAAAGTGAACGGTTTGTTTTGACTGCAGCACATGTTTCCTGGAGTTCTTTTTCATTTTTTTTGGAGTATTGAGAGATAGAACCAAATTATTGCAATCTTCCCTTTATTGCTTTTGAGCTACCTTTTGATCTTTTAAATTTGGGCTTTTCCTGGAAGAAGAAAATGAACAGCTTATGTTCCCATTCTTGTTAGATATTAAAAATGTCAGGACTTTTATAAAAAAGAGGAAGAGCCATATGTAATCTGGAAAAGAATAGAAAAGAATGTGCCACTAGTACACTCTGTATTCGTGAAGACTTTGCCAAACATCATGCTAAGAATTCAAAATGTTAATTAAAATGTAATCAACCACTCACCAAACTTATGGAAATTTAACCAGAAATAATATTTCCACAGTCTACTAATTTTTTTATCACTTTCCTTCTTCTTTTTTTCCATTTACTGAGTAAACATCAGCTAATATCTTGGATGTACTTTCCACCTAAACTCTTTTTTTATAGGTAACCCCCCAAATGGATTTTCCCCCCAAAGCTATGCATTTAAATTTTTTTACAAAACAACCTTATCATCTTCAAAGTACTCTCCACGGCACTTTGTACATTTGTCAAATCAGCAATTCCATTCTTGGAAACATTGTTTTAAACTCATATATTCGGATGGCTGACAGCACCTCCCTCATTTTTTTCCCCTTTACCTCTTCTTCGTCATCAAATCGATGTCCTTTCAAGTCCTTCATTCTCAGCAACAAAAAGAAGTTTCACGGAGCAAGGTTAGGTGAGTCAGATGCGTGCGGCAAGAGAGACATGCTGACTGTTTCCCAAAGACAGGTACAGTGAGATGGCTGCGTGAGCAGGGGCATTGTCATGATGATAAAAGCAGTCCCGCATCTGCCACAAATCAGGCTTCTTTGTCACACAGTTACTGAAACCAGCTCCAAAATAGTGCAGGCAACTCCCCCATCTCTCCAATGGTCGGTTGTTGGTCTTGGAGCACAAGTGCACGAATTTTGTTGACATTTTCGGCCATGTAGGAAGTTGACAGACTTCCAGAATGAGGTTTATTATCAATCAACATTTCACCTTTTTTTGAAATGAGAAAACCACTCATAGGACACCTGAGTTTTTCCCATAGTGCTGCCCTCAGAAGCTGTTTCCCACATAAAAATTTCACAGCAGTACGTGGTTCTCTTAAATCAGCCATCACAAATAATGCGAAACTGCTTTTACCAAAAAAATCACTGTGACAAGAGAGAAACTCTCCAAGCGACACCACTGGATACACTAACTCTGAGTGAGTTCCTCAGTGCTCATCTAGTGGGGAAAATGTGTGCGATAAAAGCTTCACCCAGAGGGGCTTTTCCCCAGTGTTTTTGGGGTATCCCCTCCATACACTATTAACTTCTTCCATTGCTACCTCTTACCAGATTACTATGCCTCTACCTTAAATGCTAACTCTTCTTTCAGGTTCACTCTACCGTTTAATGGTCTTCAAGCATGCTTCATTAACAGCCCATAGTACTATATAATTTTTCTAAATTTCCCAATCACTTCTAGTGTGCATTCTAGAATCTGGCACTTGAATGTGACACTCACTATGATATTTTTATCGAATCCTGCACTCTACTTACTATACCCAGTGCCAGTTCTTTGAGGTTAAGGTCAATGATGTCTACTTCTTTGTCCTGTCTTAGCGCTTCGTTTAATTTTAGGAAACATTCACATTTTTATAAAGATGAATCTGGAGAAGAAATAAAAACATAGAAATAATTCTTTTCTTGATAAGTTTCAAGGTTTAAGAATATGGGCTGGGGGCATAAGGATGCTAAGAAAAGACATGAAAATCTAGAAAATGTCAGAAGAATGGTAGAGTAGGAAGGCTAGGAGGAGCCATGGTCACTCACTGGGCTCCTATCCAGAAGGTCAGCACTTTGAAAGCAACCGCTCCTTTGGAGAAAGATGGGGATTTCTACTCCCGGATGATTTAAGCCTCAGAAACCCACAGGCAGTTCTGCCTTGTTCTGTGGGGATGCTATGAGTCGAAATGGACTCGATGTCAGTGAGAGAGAATAATAATGAGTATTTCTTTTAAAGGAAAAAAGTAATTGGAGAAAATGTCAAATAATGTCTTCCAGTACTTTCGTGATTCTCAGACATAAGACATTGCACAGTCAGTTCCTGATTCTTTCAGACAATAAAAGGGGAAATAATTAATTGCACGGGGAGATTTAGATCACCTGTATTCACTCCTGCATTGACTGCGGAAGCATTAAATCTTAACTGTTTGCCTCTTTCCCACATTGTGAGTGCAGGTTGGAATGGGAAGAGTCTGCTTCTTGTTAAATATATCAGCAATGAAGGATATCCCTGAATCTCAAAAATGCATCTTTCTTAAGAACCCCCTACATAAATATATGGTAATTAAAAACCTTAAACACTCTCTTTTATGGATTGAATTGTCCACCCAAAAAAGGTTATCTTGAAGATTTAATCCATGTACCTATAAAAATAGCCCTATGTTTATAATAGGGCTTTTCTTTCATTACGTCAATGAGCCCTACCAGACTACGGTGTGTATGATCCTGGGTGGTGTCTTATAGAAGTGAATATAAGATACCAAACCCCATCGGAGTGGTTTCTT